CCCAACCCTGTGATAAGAGGATTGGAACTTTCAGTCCCTCCCTTGACCTCCAGGGAGGGAGAGGGGCTGGAGATTGAGTTCAATCACCAACAGGCAATGATTTAATCAATCATGGCTGTGTAATAAAGCCTCCATAAAAACAGATGAGGTTCTGAGAGCCTGGTGAACACGCAGAGATTTTGGAAGAAAGTCGCGCTCAGAAAGGGCATGGAAGCTCCACCCCCTTCCATATACTGTGCCCTATGCATCTCTTCCACCTGAGTTATACCTTTTTTTTTTTTTTTTTTTTGCTGAGGAAGATTAGTCCTGAGCTAACATCTGTGCCAGTCTTCCTCTACTTTTATATGTGGGTCGCCACCACAGCATGGCTGATGAATGCTGTAGGTCGGTGCCTGGGATCTGAACCCATGAACCCAGGCCACCAAAGCAGAGGGTGCTGAACTTAACCACTATGCCATGGGGCTGGCCCCAAGTTATATCCTTTTATAATAAACCGGTAATCTAGTAAGTAAAATGATTCTCTGAGTTCTGTGAGTCACTCAAGTAAAATAACTGAACCTGAGGAGGGGGTCATGGGAGTGTCTGATCTATAGCCAGAAGTTGCTCAGAAGCACAGGTGACAACCTGGACTTGCAACTGGTGTCTGAAGTTGGGGATAGTCTTGTGGGACTGAGCCCTTAACCTGTGGGATCTGAGGCTATCCCCAGATAGGCAGTGTCAGAACTGAGGTAATCGCTTGGTGGTGTTGAAAAAAACACACATTGGAAAATGCCTGCTGAAATTCTCAGGAAACTTCACAATCAAAAATTCATATTGAAGAGCTGAAGGTGTACAAAATGCTAAGACCCTTTTAAAAACCCTTCTATTGTAAAAATGAACGATAGATACTGGAAAGCACACAAAAGAAACACAGCTGAGTAAACTATCATAGAGCAGACGGCCTTGCTTCACCACCGAGACGGTCTCCCCAGCCTCCACCACCAAGACAGCCTCCCCGGGTTCCACTGCAGCTCCTTGCCTCACTCCAGAGGCAAGAAGTCATGACTTCTTTGCATTTCTTTAGGGTTTTATCACCCAAATGTGCCTCTCCAGACGCATCGTTGAGTCTTGCCCACTTTTTAAACTCGTGGTATCTGTTGGGTCTCTCTTAGTGGACCAGTTCTCCCTGCAGCTGTTCAGATGAACAACAGGGTTCTTAACCCGCCAGGCGTCCTCGACTGGCATTTCCTTTCCTCCTTGGGCAGGTCAGCACCAACCTCTGTGCCCTGTAGTTCTGGCAAATCAGCAGTGGAGCCCAGAGACCTGACCACGCTCAGGATCGAGTCCTCTGATGGGACCAGAGCTGGTGCTGAATGCTTTCACAAGGAGGCACGCCACATCTGGACCTCGGCAGTGTTTGATGTCAGCCATCGGCGACGCTCAATTCATTGGGAGACGCAAAATGGCGATATGATAATTCTATCGTTTTGTTTCCATTTATTAGCTGGAATAATTACCTACTCAAGGTAGCATTCAAAGAAGAAAGACAGGATTGAGGCTTGACTCTTTCTTTTATTTTCCCAGTTTTCAAGATGATGGACTGGTTCCTTCTCATCCACCGACGATGAACAATTTTTCTTTTTTAACAAAATCATTATGAATGCATGAGTTTAAACATGGCTTGCAATTCCTTGCAATTCTTATTCTTTTTTGAAGCTCCGGTGATGTCCTCTTGGCTAACAGGAGCTTCTTCAGTTGGCTCCCATGTCCCCACAGCCTTTGAGAGCCTCCTTGCTGTCTGATAAGACAAGAAGTTCAGGCTCTTGCACATTTCTGCCCCAGACTGGGAATCAGTCACTGCTCTCAGAAGCCCTGCTAGGTCTCTCCGGGTGGGCAATGGTATTTCAAGACCACGGCCTGGGCACCAGGGAGGCTCGTGGCTATGAGTTGGTCTCGGTTCTAGGATATTTCTGTGGGCAGAGCTGTGATATATTTATATAAATACAAGTATGACTCACGAGGTCATATTGATGTTACCAATTCAGAGGAAAGGTTTTACTTCATCTTTTCTATATGAATCTGCTTCTCCTTTCTGGCAAGCTGAGGGTCCTGATTCTCCAGAACACGGGGATTAGAATGGAAACACGTCCACTTGCTGTGTTCCACATAATAGAGTCTCAGAGTCACAGCACCACCAACCAGGATGGTTGAATGAACTGATGAATGAACAGGATGAATTGAACAGTAAACATATCTCGGCATCTGCTTTTCTCATCCTCTCCCCATCTTCTATGGCTGTCCCCTATCTAAAGCGTCAGAGCATCGAGCTGGGACACACCACGCTATCTCCCTTTCAACGTGTGGTCTCAGTTTTACAAACAGCCGTGTATTTGATTCTCACCCCATTTCCATGTGGGTCTCTCTCACCTGAAGCTTGTTCCCTGTAGATTCCTCCAGAGGGACCCATGGGGACGACACCTGGAGGTCAGCTTTTCTTTTGTTGGAGTATATTTGACATATGATGCTGTGTACATTTAAGGTGATACATGTGAACTTGCTGTCATATGACTGCCATTGTGGCGATGGTTAGTACCTCTATCTAAGAATTCTCGTTTTGTCTTTGGGGTGGGAAGGACTAGGATCCGGTCTCTCAGAAGTGTGGTGATTACAGTACCGTGTGGCTGTGTGTCCACTTTCTTCCAGCCTGAATGCTGCCACTGAAGGGTCTGATGTCATGTCCCTTCCTTCCAGGGTCAGTTGTATGTTCTTTTTGCGCAGATGCCCAAAAGATTTTTCTCTTTCTCTTTAAAATCCAGTCATTTTACTAGAATAGGTTGGCTATTCTCGGGTATGTGGTTTGCCCTTTCGATATCTAGTTTCAATAAAAAAAGTTAAAAATTTTCTTGACCTGTAGTTTTTGGTGTTTGTCCTCTTGCTTCTGTTTTTGTCCCCAGGGTCCCTGTCACTTGTGGTTCAGACATTCTTTGCCTATTGCCACACGTCATTTCAATCTCTTTTCATTTCTTTTTGATTTAAAAAACATTTCCTCCTTTCACCTTCTATTTCTCTGAAGACTTTCAGTGTTGGGTCCACTCACTCTTGTGTTCTTCTAATGCAGCCCTCACTTCTAAAATGACTTTTTCCTTTATTTCTAACTCTGAATGAGCTGTCACCTCATTTCTGAATTTTTCTAATTATTTATTTATTTATTTATTTATTTATTTTTTGTGAGGAAGATCAGCCCTGAGCTAACATCCATGCTAATCCTCCTCTTTTTGCTGAGGAAGACCGGCCGTGAGCTAACATCTATTGCCAATCCTCCTCCTTTTTTTTTTTACCCCCAAAGCCCCAGTAGATAGTTGTGTGTCATAGTTGCACAACCTTCTAGTTGCTGTATGTGGGATGCCACCTCAGCATGGCCGGAGAAGCGGTGCGTCGGTGCGTGCCCGGGAGCTGAACTGCTCCCGAACTTAACCGCTAAGCCACGGGGCCGGCCTCTGAATTTTTCTAATTTTTGTTCACGTCACTCTTTCATATCTTGCATCCTTTTCTGAGCATTCTAAACCATCCTGAAACAAGACAGGACGGTGAGTTCTCGCCGCCTTCCTGGTTCACTGCCTCATCTGCCAGGACACCATTTGTCCCTTAGTCTGCTTCTATCACCATTACCTGTCTGGAGTTTGTCCTTGATGCTACGCCGTGGCATATATCTATGAGAATTCACTTTCCCTGAGCTTTCAGCAGGTGTCTTGGTTCTGACGGCTTCCCTAACTGCACAAGTTGTTTCGTGAGGTGTTTAAAAACAGGGGGATTGCTTCCTCAGCTCCTGGCTCCTTTCCCCTCGTCTTCGCCTCCTCTTTTCCTGCCCTGTTGTCCTCACTCTGCTCAACCTGATGCCACCCCGAGCCTCTCCGCGTGCAGCCGCCTCACAGGGCTCCTCACAGGCCCTGCCCCGCACAGTCAGCCACCTCCCAAGGAGCGCAGCGGGACAGTTGGCTGCGTGCTTCCCCATGATTACGGTGTCTGTCTAGGGATCCCCCGTCAGACGCCCCTCTGCTTCCTCACACACCCTGGGGCTCGGGCTCATCTTTGGGGTTTGGGAGCCTGCACCTCGCGTTGTCGTCAGCGCTGTGCATCACTTCTCTTTTACTCTCTCGCTGCTGTTTGCATCTGAGGATTCAGGGAGGCCACCACCACGTCCTGGGACAACTTCGGAAGGAAAGGAACAAAGAGGGCATGCGCTCCACCAGAAACCACTGACTGGATGAGATGAGTGATGACTGAGGTGAGGACGGCAAGGCGGGGAACCACCCACAGCAGCTGTGAGTCTGACATCTGCAAAGTCAGATGGGGGCGGGGGAACATAAGTCACGGGGCTGCGTGTGGCTAAGACGGAAAGAATGTCACCACCATAATGGGGAAAAAATTAAAATATGAGTGAAGAGAAGGAAGGGTGGCTGGAGGGAGAAAGGAACATAGAATTCAAAAGACAGACAAAGAACATGTGACAGAAGACAGCATACCAAAGGAGGGGATGCTCCTCAGGCGCCTCCAAACCAGAACATCTTAATACAGATGCAGATTCCGTAAAACAAGGAGCCACAGACAGATGCCCTAAAGCAGGACAATCAGAACAGGAGGACCCGAGGGACAAGTCGAGGACCAAGCAGCCCCATTTCAGAGCTGATACACATGGGAGACAGGCGCAGAGGGGTGGCCCTGACTGAAAATTAAATTGCTGGCTTAGAATGGTTGACGTAACCACCGAAAAAGCAGTTGAGAAAGACAAAATGAATGGAACCAGGTGACGGAACATGGAGATAACCCGATGTGAAAAGAAGGGACACACCGGAGGCTGAGAGCTCACAGGAGTATTCCGGTGTAATTAACACTTTCTCTGATGTTAGGAAAGAAGCCATCTGTGGGCTGAAAAGCGCACTGGGATCCAGGAGAAGTGGTTCAGAGCAGCGGGGCTAGGATGCATTTGGGTAAGTGGTGGCGTTGAGGGACAGGAAGAGTCCTTAGGCGGAAGCCCAGGTTGGCACCAGACCGCTCCACAGGTACTGCCAGGTGACCGCGAGCGATGAGGACAAGGGTCTGCGTGGGAAGCTCATGTGGCCCTGGAAGAGCTCAGACAAGATGTGGCTCACGTAAAAGCAACGGCTTCCGCCCTCCGGCAGGGGAGAGTCCTGGCGGTCAGACCAACCCGGGTATGCGGACCTGTGGGGAGCTGGGCGGGAGAGGGCAGCCAGCCACACTCTCACTTCTCTGCCAGTTTCGTAACCTCGTCTTAACCTTGGAGGGGTCCTTGAGGAAATACTATCTCTTGACGTGAAGAAACAGTTAATTAAAGTTCAGCCATTTCTTCAGTTTATTTTTACTATTAAATTCAAGTCAAATTAAATAAAATGCGTATTTTAAGTGGCATAGGTAATTTCATTTTTATATTTTTATGTGTTTATCCTACTAACTGTATATTTGCCTACAAAAATGTCTGGAATGATGTTTTCCTAATGTAAACAATATTTATTTCTCTATGGGGGTTTGGAGCAAGATTCATTTTAACTTTCCTTCTTATATATCCTGTATCACTTATATTCCTTTTAATAAATATAAAAGTGTTTACAAAGACAACAAAGCTATTTTTAAAACGAGGTGTCATTTTACATGAAAAATGTAAAAATGCAAAAATGAAAAAGTCTGATAAGAGGAAATGGGGCTTTCCACAAATTGCTGGCAGGGATGCAAACAGGTGCGGCCACTTTGGGAAGCAAGGTGGGGTTGTCCAATAAATAGGAAGGCATGACTTCTGGGCCTGAGCTGGGGCCTCACCCACATGCACCAGGCCCTGGACAGGGATGTGGGGGGCTCTGCTCTCTGAGGGGGTGGTGGAGGCCAGTGCAGTGTTGGCCCCCCCTGCCCGGGAGGGAGACCCTGGCTGCAGGGCAGACCTGGCCCCCGGAAGGACAAGGGGACCCTGGTGGCCTGGGTGGACCAAAGACCGGGAGGGCAAGACGCCCCCTGTGCCTGGGAGGTACTCACAGTTCACGAGGCTCCTGCAGGCGAAGCCCTGGGGACAGAACAAGAAGGAGTGACAGGTCAGCGGGGCCACCTCTTGTCCCACCCCCTGAACCCAGCCTCCCCCCCCACCCCCGGTGGCCAGGCGACTCACACGGCCCTGCCTATCCTGCCCCACCCTGCCTCTCACTCTCCGCTATGGCCTGGGGGTGCCACAGCCCCTGGTTCCTCCTCTGTGTCCAGGGGTGCTGACCCTGTGAAAGTCCAGCCCAAGGCCCCACATGCAGTGGTCACTCAGTAAGTGGTGTGACCTGGACCCCGTGGACCTTCAGACCCCTGCCCCTGACTACACTCCCCACTTCTGCTGCTGGCATTCGAAGCTCCCGCAGGCCCCGCATCCCCCTTCAGGTGAACTGTGGTTGAGGCCTCCTTTGGGCTGGCACCATTTGGGTGTTGAGTTCACTAATAAAAAAAAAAAAGAGGTCCCTGCCTCTGAGGAGCCTGCATTCTGAGATGGGAGACACAGCGAGCGTAAGACATCAGTGAGCTACATTTCATGTTAGATGCTGAGAAGTGACGTGGGAAAGAACAGAGGGGTTGGGACGGGGGGCTGTAAATCTGCACGGGGCGGTCAGGGGAGGCCCCGCAGAGAAGGGGACTTAAGCGGAGTGTGGGCCGCGGGGAGATCTGTGCAAACTGCCTTTCCAGGCTGGACTCTCAGCTGATTCTTATCTCCCCTTATGCTCAACGCAGGGAGCCCCCAAAGAAGGGTGCTTGGCGCAGTTCTCCCACAGGCCCCTGTCTGAGCCCGGCCCCCTCTTCTGGAATCTCTCAGGAGAACTGCCTGTGGACCCCTCTTGAGTAGGTGGGCCATGGGGCTGCAGAGCTGTCCTTGGGAGAATGAGGTCAGAGAGCAGGGTGCTGGGAGCCCAGAGGCGGAACCAGCGGCGGGAATCCAAACCAGCCAGCGGCTGCTGCCCTGGGGCACCGGACTGCACTGGGCCTGGGCTCAACAGCGACACCAGGTGGCAGCAAACAGCAACAGCAGGCCGAGGCTCTGTTCGTCCCCGGGGGGAGAACTGATCCTCCAGCATCCCAAGTCTCCGACAGTCGTGGGTGGGGGGATGGGGGACTCGAGATGGAGATCCTGGGCTTCCTGCTCGTAGCACAGGTGGCAGGATGGAAGACTAAAAGTCAAGTCCATTCCTTGAATCTGTGGTGCAGCCAGGACTGGTGGTTCCATCTCCCACTCCATCTCCTTTCTAAATAAATTTTTTTCTGGAATAATTTTAGATCGACAGAAATGTTGCAAAGACAGTGTCCCTGATGTCAATATCTCACGTAATGATGGTGCCTTTGTGGAAGCCAGGAGACCAGCACCGGGGCCCTCCCATTAGCGGAGCTCCCGACTGTATCGGGAGCTCACCCATTCTTCCACTAATGTCCATTTCCTGTTCCACGTTTCGTTCAGCCTCCCCAGCCTTTTAATTCTCAGCCCGTTGGCACCATCCCTATTTTCCAACCACCATAATATCTCCCTAGAGACTGCTGATGTGTCCCCCTCCTCAATCTCCAGCTGCCACAGAACTGGCTGAGGTGGGAGGAACACAGACTAGACCAGCCACCTCGATCCTTTCAGCCCTGCCCACGGCCCCCTGGGGAGGAGCAGAACCTCAAATGCCAGACCCTGGGGGCCTGACCTGGGGATGGCAAGAGGGCTCTGCCCAGACAAAGGGGCTGAGTCCACCTGGGTGCCCCTCCAGAATGTGCCAGACAGGGGGTGGGAGGAGGGCAGGAGTAGGGGCCAGTCCAGTGCACAGGAGGCAGCAGAGAGGCCTGGGCCGCAGCCCTGAGTGGACCAAGACGGGGCAGGGGCCCCCTCACTCCCTCCCACAGCCCCAGATGCTCAGAACTCCCTTGGCAACCTGGGTCATACCTGTGGCCTGAACCCCCACCTGCTAGACCTCAAGGAGGGAAAGAGGCCCTCGCGGGGGCTCTTGGAAGCCCGAGAGGTTGAAGGGCGTGCCTGTGTCCTGGCCACTGGGCACTGCCTGCTCATCCCTGGGCCTGAAGCCCACGCAGGCTGGAGCTGGCCCCATGGGTGTCTGAGGAGGGCAGGTGCATGTGGTCTGGAGGTGGACCCTTCAGTGCCCATATCTCCTCTCCCCTCAGGGACACAGGAGAGGGAGCGGGAGGGGCAAAGGTCGAGGCCACAGAGCAGTTGTGGGAAATGCCACCCAGGGATCCTGGTGTCCCTGGAGCCGGAGGGCTGGGGACACAGAAGAGGGCTGGCCAGCGCCCTGGGCCCACGTGGAACAGGGCGGGATGTAGAAGTGCCCCTCCCCCCGGGGTTTCCGTTGGGCTTCTCGGGGATTCCTGGCAGGCAGAGGGGTGTCCGTGGGGTGGGACCCCGAGGCGCACCTTTGGGTGAAGTCTGGGTCCCCATGCTGCCCGTGGGGCCTGAGCTCCATCTAGGAAAGGACCCAGCATCCCAGGCTCTGCTTCTGGCGGTGGGAAGGGGCTCAGGGCGGGGGCGGGGGAGTCCTGGGACGGGGTTCCTGGGGTGGAGTCCCCAGTGCTTCCTCCCTGCTGAGTCACCTCTGCGGGCCGCCGCCGGGAAGCCCCTGATCGCCCTATTCAGCAGCAGCGTGCTGTGGTCATCTGTTCTTGTCCCCCTAGCCCCCACTGTCAGGTCAGCAAGGACGGTTTTTCACTGAAGAGTGGCCAAGGCCCAGGACTGCCCTCCAGTGGGCACGTGTGTCCCCTGGCATCTTGGGTCCTGCCTGAGCTCCCCCAGGGGCTGCCCCCACCATGCGCTTCCTGATCCCTCCTCCTCAGCTGGACACCCCCACCTCCAAGGCCCCTCCGCTCCCCTAACCCCACTGCCCAGCAGGGCACCAAAGTGGCTGGAGCTCCATGTGGTCAGAGTGGTGCCCAGGCCTCGGCTGACCTGTCAGGGCAGGAGCCTCAGGCGGCAAACACCTGTCCTCCCCACTCCTGTCTCAGTGTCCTCCCTCCAGCCTCCTCTCCCCTTCCCCTCCTCCCCTTGGGGGATTCTTTCTCCTTCTCACAGCTGGCCCCGGGCTCAGTCCTCAGCCTGACACTCTGGTCCCATTTCATCCCGTCGTGGGGCGGCCCCAGTACACTGCAGCTCAGCCGTCCCCTGCTCCCTCACTTCCTCCTCAGCAGTCGCCACCACCTACATCTGGCTTGGTGCGCGTTTTTTCCTCCTAGAACACGAGTCCCTGAGGTCAGGGCTGCCTCTCTCCTGCTGTCCCCACACCTGGAACAGTGCACACAGCAGGTGCTCAGTAAGTCCCCTCTCCCCTGTCCCTGTGACACCTGCCTTGTTCTCTCCGTGCCCGTGTCCCCGCTGTCTCCCCCACTGTCCCTGGGACACCTTCCGGGCTGTGTTCCCTAGCCTGGGCCGGCCTGGCACTGGGGGCCCCTCCTGGACGTGGGCACACGTTTACGTCGGTGCTGCTGGTGCCTCCCTCGGGTTGGCTGAGTCAGCCTGCCTGGGTGAGGAGTCCCGGACCGCACGTTTCCTGCCCCGCGGCTCTGTCCTGCCAGGACGAGCGGGATGAGTACGTGCCCCGTGGCACTTCCTCAGCAGTGTCCACACAAGCCCGGTTGCTGCCCCAGAGCCCAGAGCCCGATGACACGATAGGGCTCAGCGAGTGTGGGGGGCAGGGACTCTCAGGCTGCCCCTCACGCGGCCACTCAGAGGGCTGGGTCACTCTGAGACCCCTCAGGCTCTCAGCAAATATTCCCAGAGCACAGCTGCAGGTCCGGCCCGGCCCCTCACAGGGATCCCCAGGCCCCAGGTCCCCTCAACCTCCTATCACCTCCGCCCCCCAGACTCTGTACCCCCTCACCTACTGCTCTTGTGCTGAGGGTACCAGGCCAGTGCCCACTTGCAGAGGTACCAGGGCCCCTCAAGAGGAGAACCTCGGGGAGGGCAAGGGCTCACCTGAGAACAGGAGAGGCCACCTGCCCCATGACAGGGGTCTGGGGGGGGGAACAGGGGCTCACCTGAGAACAGGAAAGGCCACCTGCCCTCAGGACAGGGACCTAGGAGGGGGGCAGGGGCTCACCTGAGAACAGGAGAGGCCACCTGCCCTCGGGACAGGGACCTAGGAGTGGGCAGGGGCTCACCTGAGAACAGGAGAGGCCAC